CAGAGTCAATCATTAACAAGGAAAAACGCGGTAAACATTATTGGCCTTGCAGTAAAAAAATAAACAAAAAAAAACATCCAAACTTTGCAGCTTTGGCTGGTTTTCTGTTTTCTGTTTTTGGGCTCCACCCGGAAGTAGGAAGCACACATCTGGAAGCTGGTCGCATCTGGGTTTCGGACTTTGTGGCGACCCCCCTTCTAGTTTTGGGGGAATCGAAAGTGAAAGGAGATGAAGACAGGCGGTGAGTGTGTGTGTGTCCTCCTCGTGTTTTTGCCTTCAGCTTTTACTACACAACGTTGTAAACAAATCGTCCCCGGATCTTCTCGGTTATCAACATCAACAGGGTGCGTGTTACCGCCTATTTATGATAACTTTTATCGTCTAAATGTGGTTTAATAGTCGCTGGGTTAGATATCTAAAGCGGGAAACGGAGGTTTTATCGGATGCTGCCTTCACTGACCCTCCGTTTGTGCGGGAATAGTCCGTTTTAGCTTTGTTTGGACCCAAATTGGCCCAAAGTTGCTGCATTAGACGTTATAAAAGTTTCAAATAACTTCAAAGACTGTGATCACACTGTAAATATCGTTTACAAAGGGCTCCGTTATGGAAACTGAAAATACCTGAGGCTCTAGGACGAGATTTAGCCCTTAAAACAAGAAGAAAAACATGCTGTGACAAACTTTATAACGGTCACCAGATATTTAGCTTTGAACTCTTAATTATTGGGCAAAAAAAGAAGAATTGGCATTTTTCATGTTCACACTTTAAGCCAAATTTTGCATTTTGCTCATCAATTTAATGTATATATGGTTAAAATTGAAAGCAATTTATGAGTGTATATAAGACATGATAATAAGATATTAGATCTATTTTAGTTACAGATCTATTTAAATGTAATTAAGATGGACCATCATATTTTGAAATGGTTTTAACCCCCAAAGAGTTAAATCCTTGCATTCTGTGAATGTTTTCTAAATGTCTGATCCTGACCTGTGGGTCTTCCTGCTGTTTGCTAACAGGATGAATTAGATAAAGTTCTGCATGATGAATCGCCGCCTCGTTCAGAACTTCAGGGACAAACTGGACGAAATTCCCGTCTCAGGTGGGTGACGCGCGGAAATCAGCACACAAACAAACAGTTTAGCCTCCGACCGAACAATCATAATCAGATTAATTGATCAGAGGTTCCTGTTTATCACTTATATTCTCATCTTCTGAGGAAGTAGTGGGAATAAACCATAAATAAATATTGGTTTTAGGGTGTTCTCACCTCTAAAATCTGTCAGGACGGGCTCAAGACAGGACTCAGGAGCAGAGTTTTGGCAAAAACGAGGACTTTTATTAAACAAGGGATGAGAAGTACAAAGAAATGATCCCTCAGAATGAGGACAGTAAGGCTAGGAAAGTAGCAAATAAAAATCATTCAAATCGAGGATACAGAAAAGCTAAAAAAGTACAAAATAATACTCAAAAACGAGCATGAGAAACTGTGAAGTGCAAAATAATAATCACTCTTACGAGGAAAAACGTGGAGACTCGAGACGAGGAATTCTCTGGCGGGTTAAGCTAAGGGTCAAAGGTCAAAGATCGGACAAAAAGTAACGGCAGGAAACAACAAGACCAAGACATGACAGAACACAGAACACAGAAAAAAAAACCCAGGTGTGATGGTAAACTGAAGGCGTGTGACTGAGGTCCTTCTTGTCCTCAGATCACTACGGGCTGAACAGTCCTGGGCTCACCTGCTACCTGAACAGCGTCCTGCAGGTTCTCTTCATGACCGATGACTTCAGGGAGGCCGTGAAAAGGTGGGACACCTCAGCTTTCTCTCCACGAGGCCTCTATTTTGGTTTATGTTTATGTTTATGCATTTGGCAGAAGCTTTTATCCAAAGCGACTTACAGAGTAGACACAATATTACATTTATCATCACTATGACAAATGTAATATTGTGTCTACTCTGTAAGTAGTTTTCCAATAATACCGATTTGTTGACATTTTGAAGCTTAGAGTGAGCTAATAAAAAGGTCTGGGTCTATACAAAATCGGAAGATAAACAATGTCCTAACCCTAACCCTGACCCTACCTAAACCTAACCCTGACCCTGACCCTAACCCCTAACCCTCCACCCTTCATAATTGTGAGTATATTTTTTGATTAAACTTGTTTGGACTTATTGTACAAACCTATTTAACATCCACTATTTTAACATAACATTATGTATAGAGTTTAATTCAGTGTTTGCGAGATTCATTTCACTATTTTTAAACTAACGTCTACATTGCCATGAAGCAATTACGATTCTCTTCCCTGGGATCTTCCTATTGGTGACCTAATCAAAATGGCCGACCTGGATGTGGGCGGGTCCTTCTCCGTGTGACTGGTTTCTGCTTCAGCTGCAGAGGTGCGGCGGCCATCGACCGCCTGCTGGGGGCGCTGTTCGCCGGCCTGGAGAGGAGCCAGACCCAGACCCACCGGATCGCCGCCGAGCTGGGCATCACGGACGGTAAACGCCCGCCGCCGCTTGATTCTGATTGGCCGTCCTCCTAAAAGCCGGTTCGTCGTTTTATTTCTCTACATACAGTGTTCAAACAGCGGGACGCCGCCGAGTACCTGGAGAGGATCCTGAACGCCACAAGCCCAGAAGCCTCCAAGGTAGGAGGATCCGAGTATTTAACTCATTGTTCTGCCAAAGACGTCTATAGACGCCAATTCAAATACTATGGAAGTAAATATGTGCCATCAGAATTTGAATAAAAAATACCTCTGAAATTTGAATGTTGTATATTAGTGCTTACTTTTTCAGTATTAAAATAAATTCTGAATATATTTTTAACCTAAAAAAAATTCAATGTCATATTTGTACATTAAAAAAAAAATTCAGTGTGATTTTTTTACATGGTTGCAATTTTCAGTTATTAAAAAAATTCACATTCCTATTTCAAAGTGATCAAATTTTCAATATACATATTTTTCACAGTTTAAATTTTCAGTGTTAAAAAATTCAGCATATAAAAAATTCAACTTTTCAAAATTCAAATGCAATATTTTCGTTGTCCTCCAATTCAACTTGCTCAAATTCGCTGTCTCAAATTCAGCGTCTAAAAATTCGCTGTCAAAATGGCCAATGTTACTTCGTGTCACAGACATTAGCAATGGATGTCCGATTCCAACATCCACCTAATCATGTGCAAAATAAAATATACTACAGAAATATGAAAGCATTAAACTCACCGTTGGGTTTGAGTTCGCCTCCGTGGTCGCCAGCCTGGGTGATACTGGTACTTCTTCAATATACAACCGTTGACTGCCAAAGACGTCTATAGACGCCAATCGGACATTTTAAACGATTGCTCAAAGGTTTGGAAATGAGATCTATGGTTTGTAACTGTTTTATGAATTTCTAATTATAGATAGATGTAACTGTAAACTGTAATGTAATTTGTAATGTTATCTTTTGCCGCTGTCTTGGCCAGGACTCCCTTGAAAAAGAGATTGTTAATCTCAATGGGACTTTTCCTGGTTAAATAAAGGTTAACTCATTGGCTGCCAAAGACGTCTATAGACGTCTTTTATGTTTTTCAACGCGAGTGGCTTGGGGGACGATCCGCTAAAGCTTGTCCGTAAATATCAGGCTTCTAGACAGAGTATGTAGTAACAAATTGACCCTCTAGGTGGCAGTGCCACTTTTGATGGGAGATGACCATAGACTGTAGGCAAATAAGAAAAAGGTAACGGTTCACTATGAGAGAACATGTCGCCGGTGAGACGCAAGTCGAGGAAGAACGGAATAAGGTAGAAACAATTTTTTTTTCCTGATGATAGAAGAGAGTCTATTCTTTATTTTGGTGTGTTCGGTGTTTACATAGTCATAGCACAAACTATTCTGTGGCTCTTGAAAAATCAGTCAAAATGCTAAAAAAAACTCTGGCAGTATGGGACTTTCCGTTCTGAAAATGGCTGGCAGTCAATGAGTTAAGGGCTGGAGCTCTTTGATCTGGTTTCGACCAATCAAAAAGTGATCTGTTTCCAGGACCGATTGGTTCCTTTACAGGAGCAAACCGTCATTTTGAATAAACTTTATTGACGTCCAAGGAGAAATTGACCAAAAAGTCAGGGTTTTACTATAACAAGTGACAAAACTGTTAATTATTGACAGTTAGTTAAGCTAACCTGTTTGTTTTAAGTGTATTTCTGCTCATATTTGAAGTCACAGAAAGAAATTTGGATAAAATCTGGGCCTTAAAATGAGTGTTTTTGATTAAAATAGATCTTTTTAAATGTGAAATAGCCATAAAAATATCGTAGATTGCTCCACAGGAGGAGGTTTAGCCTCTTAGAAGGTAGCAATTTTACTGTAAAAAGTCACAAAACTGTAATTATTGACAGTCAGTTAAAGTAACCTGTTTGTTTTAAGTATATTTCTGCTCATATCTTAAGTCACAGAAGAAGATTTGTATAAAATATGGGTGTTA